TCATTTTCATTTCCATTTCCTTTACTTGTCTCTTTACATTATAAATGCTGTTACTTTAAACATGAATAGCTAGAGCTCTAAGTTGGCTAATCCAAGGGAGAACTCCTCTTGGGTATTCCATTTCAACTCATTTTCTTTCCTCCTCTCGATGTACGATGGTTCGGTTTGACTGGGTTGAGAGTGGATGGGGTTGTGAGTCTTTGATATCCTGTAAGCCTAGTCATGGTTTATGCTTGGATCCTCACCATCTCGTCCCTAGTTTCCCACGAATCAATTGTTCATCTATGCACCATTGGAGGGAGGTTTCGAGTTGAGTTGGGATTCCTATTGGAATGACCTCTTTGGATTAGCCAACACTTGTTTTATTGCATTTTCATTCACAAACTCCAATCACCAAAACACAAACAAAAGATTTTACATTTTTCCCTTTTCACAAAATTACCTTCACACACTTGAACTTTCCTTCCTTGAGGAGACGACCTCGGAATAATTTTCAAGTAAAACACGACATACAAAAGACTCCTTGCGCTTGGGGAGCACTTTTGTTCACACGCACATATTTCATACATTTTGTACATTTCATTCCACACCATTATTTCGTTTTCCCATTCCTTGCATCAAACCTGAGTGAGAGTGACACTCACCCACTTACACATGCCATATACACATTGAGGGTTCATGTTAGGACATTAGGGAATACAACGGAAATAATCAAGCAGTAATGCATGCCAATTTGGTATTGAATGAGTTTTCAAAGAGTTTAGCCTTGTTTAGCTTTGTCCTTTAAAAAGAAAGGAAAATGTTTCAACTTGGCCAGTTCAGAATTGTCTTGAAATATTCCACATACCTCATCAAAATATTTTATATGCATATACAAGTTTTCAGATTTGAGTCCATGAAATTGAGATAGTAATTGCACTGTCCCCGCCTCTACATTAAAGAGGGGCACATTTGCATGAAACACAATACAAAAAGGGACACTGTTTCATGTGGAATGCAAGTAATCCCTCAGAGTTCAAATGTGTATCATTTGTGTATTATTTGAATTTTGAAATTTCATATGTGTGTGTGTATGTGTGTATCTTAAGCCAAGTTTTAAGAGATAATGAGATGTGGGTACCTTTTTTCAGAACGTATTTGGCATTAAGTACCACTTCCAAACTTATCCTCTTTGAAGTCCTCTTTTTCATCAAAATAGTTGTCAATAACTATACATTGTAAAACATTTTAAACTCTTTTTAAAATGTATTCCATAATTCCCCCTACAATAAATAGTGCATACCGAATTGATAGATTTAGATTTCCAATATCTACATATTAAAATGTGAGACTTTCAAGATTCTTTTTGATATTTGTGTATTATTTGAATTTTGAAATTTCACACACACACACACACATATATATATACACACTCGCACACACACACACATACACGTATATATGTATATATAATAATAATAATATTAAACAGTAACCCTCAACAAAAAAATAGCAAAATCAAACAATAACACACTCAACAAAAAAATAGTAACATCAAACAATAACATTTATATATACACACACATGTATATATGTATATATATAACATTTACTGCATTGCCATACGTTGTGCTCTCACTTTCTACTGTGCTATATCTTTTGTTTCGTAGGTATAAATTATATCGATAGAAAAAAGGGAGAAAGAGAGTTGGATTTCTTGAAAAATCATACATATTTTTTGATATTTAAAATATTATATATAAAATCTTGAGGTTTGGACGTACATAATGCTTAAATTCCTGTCATCAAAGTCCAATAATATATCCGTTAATAAATTATACTCAGATCTTCTAGAATTTGTAAGCGTATAATATTTATATCCCTTAAATTTAAAATGTTATACTCATATAAAAAATACTGCAATTAAAAATAAAATATTAAATTTTTTAATCAAAATTCTTGTTTTTATTGTATAATTTATTAAAATAAAATTTCAATTTTTTCTTAAAGAATTAAAATTATTATACAATTATACTATCTATTAAAATAAAGCTAAAACCTTAACGAAGTGATTTATGTCATTTATAATAGAACATGAATTTTACAACCAAAATTCATGTTTTATATATTATTTATTGAAATAAAATCAAAAATAAATATCTAATTTTTTTCTTAAAAATTATAATTAGTATGCAATTATATTATTTACTAAAATAAACCTAAAAAAATCAAATAATGTATCAAACTGTAACGGATAAAACATCTTCTAATTTTAATTAAGATAATTTGGTAGTTTAATTTAGTCATTTAAACGGCCAAATTAAATTCTAATAAATATTATAATTGTATACTAATTATGTTTTTTTAAGAAAAAAAATTTATTTTTTTATTTTTGATTTTATTTAAATAAATGTCATAATATAACACAAATTTTGGTTGTAAAATTTAAAATATATTATATTCTAGCTTTGATTGAAGTTTTTTTAGTCTAAATATGAAATTTTAAACTTGATGGGTCTAAGTATTACACGCCTACAAACTTCAATGAATATAATAACAGATATTGACAACAGTGGTCTAAGTATAACGCGCGTACAAATCTTATAAGATTTATGTATAATATTTCAAATGTTAGAGAACTTAAGTGATTAAATAACAAACCACAAGAGTCTTAATGTAATTCTCTCTTAA